GCACGGTCTTCAAGTTTGAGCTCCGAACTATGCGGCGCTGCCGGTGCGCCGCTCTGCGTTGGAAGCTGGAGCTCCTCCGTGCTGCCAAGCCTTCGCAGAAGCAGCTCACGGACCTTCTCCGCGGGCATCGCGCACCTAGGCGCCAAAATCGCCAAGGGTACCAGGCACCCTCATCTCCGCCTTCAGATGATGACATTCGGGCCGTCTTCGTGGAGGACCCGGACACGGTCTTTGTCACCATCACCAAGGCGGCGGCTGCCGCAGTGAACGACCTGGCGGTGTCCACTTTCTTTCCGGAGCAGGCGCCCTTGGCGGTCCTGCCCGGCGATCCCGATGCCAACCCCGCCAACTTCCATGCATCGGAGCAGCAGGCGTGGGACCCTGCCCCCATCCCGATCTTTGTCGGCGCCCGCGTCCAGTTGACCAGAAACATCCACAAGGAGATGGATTACGTCAACGGCATGGGCGCCACGATCCTCGGGCTGCAGCAGGGCGGCGTGCGGGTGAGGACGGACACTGGCTTCATCGTGGTGGTCTACCCCTGGACGGATGCTGAGTCCCAAAGTACCTACCACCCAATGCGATTGGGGTATGCAAACACCCTGACGAAGCTGCAAGGAGCGACTTTGGACAGCATGACCCTGTACCTGGATGTACCAAACATCCCGGCTGCGGGGTACGTGGCGCTCTCCCGTGTGCGCTACGACAAGCACTGGCGCTTTGTCGGATACCTCACCCGGCACCATTTCACCCCCGCCTGAGCCCCGTGAGCACTGCTGCACGGCCAGCCTGTGACGAGTTTTTCAAGCTTGTTCTCGACAGCATGAGCTTGATGGTGCTAAAAAAGCAGTGAGGCGTGTGCATAGGCCTGCAGTCACCACTCATCTCCGGAGTTGCAGAGGACTTGTTTCCTGGTAGCTGGAGAGAAGTGATACCACAGCAGGTCGAGCAAATCTTCGATCGGTATCCTGCTGCCGTGGCTCAAACCTCCATATGGGTCAAGACCTCAACGCCTGAGCCATAGTAGGATTCCTGTTTTCGCCTCGCCACGCTTCTTCCGCAGGGCAGGACCTGCGCCTGCAAAATTATGCTTTCTGTGCCCTTGCATCTTGCATGCCTTGGGCCAGGACCTCAGAGGTCTGACGGAACCTTGCGTCGGCAGTGTTGCTGCAGTGCGCTCGGCTGCGCTTCGGTACCTTGGCGGCAGGCATGTTGTCATGATCAAGGCAGCAAACGAGTTCTGGAAGAAGTGGGAATTTAGGGCGTCAGCCCGAAACCCGAAAAGGAATAAAGTTGGGCGGATGCCTGCGTAAGCAGGGGGTGGGAAGAATTAACCCAACACACCAAGTCTTGGTTTGTTGGGCACGATGGAAGAGCCGTCGCAAGAAATGCCGCCCCCCCAACACCAGTGGGTGTGTCGGGGCGCCATTTCTACATGTTACCTCCAGCCGCCGCGCAGCGAGACG